TAAAAAGACACTTTGAAGTAATCAGCAAAACGTTAAGCATAGTAAATACCTTCCCTGACAAAGAATCCAAGCACACAGCAATTCTCTTTACAATGGCACTGCCTAGGCCCCTCTGCTTTCAATAGTCAATACCAACATGCACACAGCAACCCTGGCCCCTTTGCATTTTTAGTAATGCTGAGCATACTGGTTACTATGCTGAGCATACTGGTTTTTTGTTTTTTTGTTTTTTTTGCTGGAGGGATGAAGAGCGAACAGTGGGTTTTTGTTCTTGCGGCTGTATTGAGAACTGGCAAGAAAATGCATTTTCTACCAATCAAGATTTCTCAAATGCAGCTTTAAGCCAACGTTCTCTCATTTGCTGTGGTGCAAATATAGAAGCTACACTTCCAACATTGGCAAAATTGCAGGGTATGGCCAAGATGGCACGGGCTCCAGCATTGCATAGTAAAATGCTCCTGTTCTCCTGCCAAGGATCACTGGCCCGGCTCCACCTTTTTTGTCATGAATGCAGGGCAGAAATTGCTTTCTCATTTGCTGTCGTTCAGAGAGGACAGCCTTCAACTTTGGCAAACTTGTTTGTTTTATTACGAGAGGCAAAATAGTTGCTGGAGCCATGAAAAAAAAAATACAGAATTAAAAATAGGGAACTGCATTCCTTATTTTTCAAGGATTCAGCATTCTCCCATCCTAAATCTCCCCTGTAACACCAATTACAGTTGGTGTTGGTAGCAGGGGAGAGGGCCAAGGATAGACCTCACTTGCATGGGTTTGGGTCACTCACTGGTCCTCTGAATACCTCCATGAATTGCTAGGCAAGGTCATTTAGTAGCATGGGGTTGGTTACAATTGTTGATATGACCTAACTGTATGTCCTAGAATGCATTAGATACTTAAATGTATGTGAAAAACCGGAAGATTGATAGGGATATTCTAGTTGTCTTTCACTGATTTCTCCACAGTGACCAGTTACAATTGGCAAAGAAATTATCTTGTGTTTTCAAAGCCCGAATGAGTATTATCTTAATTTAGGGATGAGAAACTACTGTAGACAAGCACAGAATGCAAGAGTTGAAAAGGACCCTCTATGACATTTAGTACATAATTTATGGAGCAGGATCCAACTACACCACTCCTTCTCTAACACATCCAGCAGCAGAGACTGCCAACATTATCCAACAATAGTTACTGATGTTCTGCTAAAGTTTGCTTCTTTGTAAATTTTATTTTTTACCCTCTGTTGCATCTTGTGTGTGACAATCCTTCGGATACTGAAAAAACAGACAACGCATCTCCCTTTAATCTTATTCTTTATTTATTTTATTTGATATGTCAATTGCTTACAAGATACAGGTATAAGAATAACTATAGTTTTGAATACATGAGATAGATACTTATAAGAAAAATAAAAATACAATAGGACAGGGACGGTAGGCACAATTGGTGCACTTATGTACGCCCCTACAGGCCTCTTAGGAAGGGGGTGAGGTCAATAGTAGACAGTCTAAGGTTAAAGTTTTTGGGGTTTGGTGAATAAACCACAGAGTCAGGTAGAGTATTCCAAACACTGATCACTCTGTTGCTGAAGTCGTATTTTCTGCAATCAAGTTTGGTGCGGTTAACCTTGAGTTTGTATCTATTGTGTGCTCTTGTATTGTTATGATTTGAAGCTGGAGTATTCATTTGCAGGTAGGACATTGCAATGTATGATTTTATATACTATATTTAGAACAGACCAGAGGCGGCGTAGTTCTAGGTTGTCTAGGTCTAGAGTTTCGAGTCTGGTGGCATAAGGTATTCTGCAATGAGTAGAGGAGCGGAGAACTCTTCTTGTGAAATATTTCTGGACTTTTAAAATTGTGTTAATATCAGATACATGATATGGGTTCCAGACTCTTGAGCTGTATTCAAGTATAGGTCTAGCAAATGTTTTGTATGCTCTAGTTAGTAGTGTGATATTACCAGAGAAGAAGCTATGTAGGATTAGATTAACAACTCATAATGCCTTTTTGGCTATGTAGTTGCAGTGGGCTCTAGCACTTAGATCATTAGAGATGAGTACCCCAAAGTTCCTGACAAAGGTTCGATCCTCAACAAGGTCTTGACTATTTAGCTTGTATTTTATTTTCTGATTTTTTTCTGCCAATATGTAGGACAGAGCATTTATTTGTTGAGATTTGAAGTTGCCATTTGATTGACCATTCTGATACATAGTCAAGGTCTTTTTGAAGGGTAGTAGTATTGTCTGTGGTGTTGAATAGCTTTACATCATCAGTGAAGAGAATGCAGTTGCTCTTAATATGATCACAGAGGTCATTTATGTAAAGTATGAAGAGAGTTGTTCCTAAAACACTGCCTTGGGGGACACCACTGTTGACAGGTACAGAATTTGATAGGACGTTCCCAATTTTGACCATTTGTTGTCAGTTTGACAGGAATGCTTCTATCCAGTTATGTAGGTGTCCAGAGATACCATAAGATTTTAGTTTTAGTACAAACTAACCTTAGCCCTAAAAAACAAAGATTCTTCAATATATTATGACAATTGGAATTGCTGGTATAAATGGTTAGACCAAAGATAGACTTTATATCATAAGGTGAAAAAGAATGGGATAAACGTATATGAGTGTAATATAAAAATATATATGGATAAGATGTGCGTATATGGTATAAATTAAGAAGAGAAAAGATCTTACAACTGTCGAAAATGAGAATGTTTTTAACTGTTTTTTTTTCCTTTCTTTTTCTTTCCTTTTCTTCTCTTTTTGCTTTTCTCTCTTTTTTCTTTGCTCTTTTCGCGTTTTTCTATTCGTGTATGTATTGTTGATTTGTTTTTAATTGTAAAATTAATAAAATTTGTTTAAAAAAAAGATTTTAGTTTTAGTAGTAGTTTGTCATGTATCACTGAATCAAAGGCTTTACAGAAGTCTATGTAGATTGCGTCTATTGCTTTGCCCTGATCGAGTTGTGTAGTCCATATGTTTTTGCAGTGTAAGAGTTGCAGATTACAGGATAGTTTTTTTCTGAAACCAAATTGTTTATTAGAGAGTATGTTGTTTGTCTCTAAGTGGAGGATAATGGATTGGTTAATAATTGATTCCATGACTTTACAGGTGACGCAGCATAAGGAGATTGCTCTGTAATTTTCAACTAGGTTGGGGTCTCCCTTTTTGAAGATGGGGATGACCGTGGCTTGTGACCATAGTTTTAGCAAGGAGCTGGTCCTGAAAGATTTTTCAAAGATTATGTTCAGAGGTTTGGCTATGGCAGTGGATAGCTTTTTCAAGAAGTAGGCACATATTCCATCTGGTCCAATAGATAGGGATGGTTTTAGATTGCACAGTGCTTTTTCAACAATGTCTTCTGTAAAATTGATATGTATTAGATCATTGTAGTTGTCTGTGGCTCGACTAGGAAGTACTGGACATGATCCATTGTTGTTTACAAATACTGAGCCAAAGAATATGTTAAAGAGGTTTGCTTTGATGGTGTTGTCGTTGCAGTCTTTGCCATTAAGTCCTTTCAGGGGTGGGATGGACCTTGAGTCATTTAGTTTGTTGTTTACAAAATTGTAGAAAGCACGGGGGGGAATTTGTGCGTACGTTTTCATCTTCTCTTCTTCAGTCTTGAATCAGATGACAGTATGGGTGAAATTGAAGTAGTTTTGGGCATCTTGACCACCTATTATGTAGTCCTCTACTTCCAACAGTTCATTTAGTGACTGTTCAAAGTTACAACATTGAAAAAGTGACTTATATGACCATTTATCACATTTACAACTGCTGCAACATCCCCGTGATCCAAATTCAGACGCTTGGCAACTGACTCATATTTATGACAAGTTGCAGTGTCCCATGGTCATATGATCAACTTCTGACAAGCAATGGGGAAGCCAGATTCATTTAACAACCATGTTACTAACTTAACAACTGCAGTGATTTACTTAAGAACTATGGCAAGGGAGGTCGTAAAATGGGACAAAATTAACTTAACAGATGTCTTTTGCTTAGGAATAGAAATGTTGGGCTCAGTTGTGGTCATCAGTGGAGAACTACGTGTAATTACTCTACTCTTTTCATCCCTGCAGTTTTTATATTTGTTTTTAATGTTCCAATTGTAAATAATGATTATTTTATATTTTTATGATTGTATTTATATAATTATTGTTGATTTTTGTACACCACCCAGACACTTATGCAAGTTTGATTAATAATGTAACATAGCGTAACATTATTATATTACATTACTTTACATCATATAATTTATAATTATATAAATAAAATTATATAAAGTGAATTATTACATTATATTACATTATTATTATACTTTGGTACTTTATATTATATACACCCTTCAAAGCCATTATTAAAAGATAAATTGCATAAACTAGTCCAAGGAAAAGGATCTATGGGACACCAGTTCTTGGGGAGCAGCACTTTCCATTTCCAATATTCAGGTGCGAAATATATTTATTTGTCAAAAACTTACAATATAATAGAAACAAACATAAGTTTGAATACAAGAAATAGGAACTAATAAATGGGACAATAGGACAGGGATGATAGGCACGATTGTGCACTTATGCACACCCTTTACAGACCTCTTAGGAATGGGGTGAGGTCAATAGAGATTAGTTTGAGGGTAAAGGAGTGGGGGTTTGAGCAGGTGACAACAGAATCAGGTAGTGACTTCCAGACATTTACCACTCCGTTACTGAAATCATACTTCCTACAATCGAGTTTGGAGTGGTTTACATTTAGGTTACATCTGTTATGCACTCTAGTATTGTTGTTAAAGCTGAAAAATTTATTAACTGGTAAGATGTTATAACATATACACATACATTTACATAAACATATTTTTAAAGGTTCAATTCTTGCTAGAAAGAGGGTTCTCTTCTCCCTCAAGCGAGTTGACATTAACATCTGGAAGAGGGCAGTTCTCAAACGGAGCCTTGCCGCGGGGGAGGAGCTGCTGCGCCTGAGAAGGAAGGGGCGGTGCCGGCGGACCCGGACGGTGCAAAGAGGACGCGCGCGGCCTCTTGGTGCGCAAGGAGGCTGCTGTGGCGGCGACGGTGGTGCAAGTCCGCCCGTGGACAGCAAGGGCAACATGGAAGTGTAAGATGGCGAGCGAGCTTGGCTTCTTTCGGCCAGTCACACCTGCTCCCACCCCACCCCATGAAGGGTTAAAAACGGGAGAGGCGGGATTACACTCAAAGGCAGGGAGGAAAGAGAAGCACCGGACGTGGGTTTAAACTGCTTTCGGTGCTTTTCGGTCATGCACGCACACGCGTTTCCCTGGCTCGTTTTAAAGCCCTCGCGGTTGCTTCGCCCTCTTGCCGACGTGGCTCCTCCTCTTCCTCTGGGTGCTTTTTTTATTTTTGTTTCTGTTTAAGTGGTTCAGCAGGTTGTGCGAATGTGGCTCACGATTCACCTTCCTTGTGCAAGTCCTGGAAATGAGATCGTTAGGGAACAGATCGTGTATATCGATGAATCCAGCTATTGGCTCGTCGTTCAATATTGCGAGAAGGTGGAATAAATTAAAGGCTTGAGTCGAGCCTCAGTGCTGATGGCTTTCATGGAAAAAGCCCCAGAGAGGGTTTGGCCACAGTAGGGTAGATTGTCATGGTTTTCTAACCTTTTTTATTATTTACTTCTTGGTCTTGTCTACAACCCTAACATTTCCTATGGTCTCCAATCCAAATCAAGGTTCGGCCCTGCTTAGGTTTTTTTTTTTTTTGCATTAAGCCAAATTCAGTTGCTTATTTCTGCCTGCTGTGGTGAAGAAACTCTTGCTGGGAATACACATAACAACTTGCCTCCAGAAGTTGTGAATGCTCTCAATACTGGAAGTTTTTTAAAAGATGTTGGATAACCAATTGTCTGAAGTGGTGTAGGGTTTCCTGCCTATGCAGGGGTTGGACTAGAAGACCTCCAAGGTCCCTTCCAATTCTGTTATTCTATTCTAACTATTTTTTGTCTGCATTGCTTTTTTTGACACTATCTCTGAATCCAGATTTGTGATCTATTTTATCACTTGAGAAGTTTGGGAGGATATATAGGAGGAAAACAGTTTTCTGTATGTGTAATCATATTTGTATATTTAAATAGGTATACACTGCTTTTCTGTGCATTAATGAAAATACACATAAATACAGTAAAACTAAAAAAAAACTTGCAACAGTACGCAGTTCACACTTTAAAAAGTAATTACTATATATCCAAAAGTAAATCCCAGTTAATTTAGTGGAGGTTGCTTGCTCCCTTGCAGCATTGTATTGATAGGCAGGCTTCTGGGGGAATAAGATCCAATAAAAAATAAATATTCATGGGATTTCAGTGCAGTTTGATAAGAATGTCCTGATCGATAAGTTACCCATAAGCAATTTATAGACATCATTGGTAATTATGCAAGCAGAAAGATATATGTTATTATTGTTTTATTTGATTATTTCAAATTAATTTTTTTAAGAGTAAAAAAATTAAAAGATGGATTTGGTTTCCTAGAATAGGGCATCAGTAAGGCACTTTACCCAAACTAGGTAGCATCATCAGTATGTTGGGGATTATATTGTGGCATTGAGAATGGCAAAACTTTATTTCTATGCTCTTATTACAAGGGTCTTCAAACTTGGCAAGTTTAAGACTTGTGGACTTCAACTCCCAGAATTCCTGAGCTAACATGACTGGAGGAGGAATTTTGGGAGTTGAAGTCCACAAGTCTTAAAGCTGTTAAATTTGAAGACCCTTGTCTTATTATGTCTGAATAGTCTTCCTGGCAACCCTATTTAAAGGATTGTTTCCTGCTGGGGAAAGACAAGCTATTGGGCCATTTACAGGGCCATTTTGAAGAACATTCTAGCTATCTGATTGATAAAGTCACTGCTTTTGCTCGGAGTTGGATTCTGACTTTTGAGATGCCTCAGACATTGTCTTGTGGGTTTAGATGAGATGAGCTTGTGACTCCAAGGAAGTGGAAATAGTCTTTGGGTTGACCCTCCTGGCTTGTGAAGGTTACTTAGGAAGTGACCTGTTCTTGGGTCTATGTGATTATGTCATCCTCCTTGAGGGAAAGCAGTGGTCCACCAGTTTTGAAAGAGGAAGGATTGTTCTCCCTCTTCAAAAAGACATTGCTGGACATAGTGGATATAGGCACACTTCAATCATCCCTTTTTGGGAAGATTGCTGAGAAATGGAATTGCAGCCTGGAGGGAACAGGAATTGCAGCCTGGAGGGTCCATGAGGGAACAGATTACGTGAAGCCTATTCAATTAGAGTTAAGACAACAATGGTCACTCTACTTCTAGACACGAAGTGTATACCATCCTGGTTGATATCTCAGCTGCCTTTTGATATCATAATGTTTGATTAATAGTATCCTTCTGGACCACCAATGAAGATTACTAGTCAGGGCACCGTTCTTTCCCTGGGGGCATTCCAGTCAGTGCTGATTTGGGGAAGGAGATTGTGGCTGAGGCCTCTAATGTATGCCTCAGGGCTCAGGGCTCGCACCCCACTTTAGATGAGGAAGGCCTTCATCCTGTGTTCTAGCTGACCATGTACCTGGCCTCAGTGATGGTTCTGGATTCCAGATAGTCCCTGAGGCCCTAGACACCTCTGTTAACTGTAGACTGTTGGGATGAGCCCTTGATGTTGCAGCTGGTCTTAGAATTGGTGTCAGTGTTATAAATTTCCACAGCCTTCTCTCTAAATATAATACTTAAAAATAAATAAATTGCACTTATTTAATTGGAAAGATGTATTGGAGCATGTTTGGGAATATTAATGTGAATTCTCCTAAATCTAAAGCTCTTCATCATATCTGTATAGTAAAAAGAATGAGATCTATTCTACAAATGGAGGGGAACTACTATTTCTTACAGACTTGTCTTTAACTATGCATAGTTCTTTAAAAATCCCACAATTCTTTGTTTATTTCCCTAGTAGGTGTATATTACATTGTAGCCAAAGAGAGGAAAATATGAACTAGCATCATGCTGACTTTTGATGCGGTGATAAAGATGGCAAAACTTTTTTTAAAAATTCATGTGGACAGTGGTTCTATCCAACAGACAAGGACATGGGCCAAATTATCTCCTCAAATCCTCTGAAACCATGCAACATTTGTTCTAAAGTGAGCCAATTCACTCATCTCCCATGTTTTGGGTCAACTGAGAATAATTCTCTATGGACCTGTTACCCTTTTTGATTATTTTTTCTTACAATAGTTGTTGGACACGGGGACTCAGATTTCTCCAGATGCATATGGAATGCAGAGACCTTCAGAAGAATTAAATATCTCCATCAGCGAAAGGGGATATATGTCCGTCAATAACAACAAAAACACTTTTCACGAAATGATTGTGTCCGTGTGTATATGAACATAATTGCTGTAGCTTTTCTTTTATCCACACAATACAATGAGAACTCCAACTCAGCATATTTTCTCGTCCACTCAACCAGTACATTGTAAAGACAACATTAGAGCCTATGGAAGTTGTTGAACTTGTTTGAAAGTGATGAGTGTGGTGGTTCTATTCAAACAGTCCGCTTTGCTTGACATAATGCATTGTATTTTTTTAAGTATGTTGCAACAGGGGACCTAAAAACAGTTTCATTCTCTTCCGTTGTAAATGCTAGTGATATTTTCTGCTGCTTATCTATCCAGCTGTACTCATTGTCCCTAGGATGTATAGCTAATTTGTGATAAGTGAATGTTATTTTTTTTAAAAAGAAATATTGATGTTTCTAATTCATTTTCTGAAAATAAAATGAATTTATTTGCTGTTAATTGGAATGCACTTCAATAGAAAACAAGAGCAGGCAGGTCTCAGGCAAGCCCATAGATTTGGTTTCAATAGTCTTTGCAAGTTGTGGTACACTTATTTTTTGTTCCAGGTTAAGTGCAGTTTTAAAAATGATTTGTAAGTAAAATCCTTCCTCAAATTAAGCTTAGCTCCGTGCCCATGTTCCTTTCAACTGTTAGGAGAAAGTTATGGCTTTTTAAAGGGGCTTCTCCATACTTGTCCCGTTAAATCATTGTACTTACAATCTCTTTGGAATTTTTTTTCCATAGGAAGGATGGAAATGCAGCCCTTCTCAGCAATTATGAGGTAATGTGATTTGTAATGTTCTGAAAAGCTACATATAAGCTGAATTTTCATGACGATATTGCAATTCAGTAGATCTGGATCCAAGTTAGGGAAGATTTTTTTTCTAGAAGTGAACTTGGCCTATGTCCCTCTACCATTATCTGAGGCTCCAGTATAATGGGCATGAGGACACCACCTCCCTTATGATGGAACCTAGGTTAGTAGTGTAAGTGTTCTGGACTGGCCAATCCTTTTATCTTTGTTCATGTATTTCCTTAATTGGTGTCTCCACTTTTCATTTATTTCCTTCTTAAAAGACGGACATCTCTTTCTGCCCTGTGTTTAATAATTGCAAAAATGGAAACCATAGAGTTACTCTTACATAATGAGAATTATAAAGCACCTTGGGGTTTGCTGTTACTGTTGAATGAAAATAGATTCAGTAAATAAAATGTACTTTCGCAATGTTAAAATAGAACATTCAAAATATATCTATCTCCAATAATAAATAATTGATTTAAAGGGTAGCCATAAAGAAGGGTGGCCATAATTTAAACTGTAGCCATAATGGAGGGTTGCTAGATTGTGCCAGATGAATTACAGATCTGCAAATTACAGATCTGCATTAATAATGTTAAGAAAAAAGCTCCTTCAAATTAGCTGAAATCAAGAATTCTTAAAAATATTAGCAACAGAATATAGCAATGTGCAAGCTCCAGTTATACTACTAAAAGAAAATCTTGAGCTGAATACATTCTTAGAGGCTTCTTTTTTGTAGTTTTTCTGTCCATTTTTGAGGAGCTATTCAGGATACATTTAACTGATTTATAGGGAATGTAATTTGTAATTTGAGTTTAAATATTTGAAAACTAACTGACTTATTGGAAAGGATTTTCCAATGTCTCCTAATATTTATATATAGGTATTTAATTTATATGAAAAAACTTACATGGCTTTCCATCTTATATACAATGACACTTAGTTATTGTTCGTTGTGAAATTGTGTCCGACCTATTGCAACCCCATGGACAGCGTTCCTCTAGGCCTTCCTGTCCTCTACCATCTTCTGGAGTCCATTTAAGCTCTACTGCTTCAGTGACTCCATCCAGCCACCTCATTCTCTGTCGTCCCCTTCTTCTGTTGCCCTCAATCTTTCTCAGCATGAAATAGTATGTAGGAATGATCTTGAGAGACAGGAGGAAGAGCACCTGACTTGGCAGCTGTCAAATAAGAAGCAGCAGAGGCAGCAGGAGGAATGAGGACATGCCATACATCTTAGAAATGACCCTACTAGGTTTCTTGGATTTTAAAGATGAGGGGTGTTAGGAATGTATGTCACCTAACAGTTATTTGGGTTAGAAATATATAAACTAGGATAGACATTTTAATACTGTATCTTTAAGAAAATGCAAAAACTGTAATTGGGGGTGGTTTCTCAAACGGCCATAAGATGGAGCCAGAAACCTGGGTTGTTTAGTCTCAGTCTCAGAAGTGAGTGAGTCTCTTTTTCCTTCTGTTGGAGAGTTTTGCCGTTCCTCCTAATGACTGTTAGTGATTGTTGATGTAAGTCTGTTGCTGAACTGTTTTTTGATACTGGACTTTGATACTTGGATTATCCCTGAACTGAACACTGACTGCTTTACCTGTTAATTGACTTGGACTGCTTATCTTGGACTGTGCTTAAACGTTTTATTGGAAGTAAAAACCTACACTTACTGTACAGTGTATCTGTGTGCTGTTTGTGTATTATTCTTCACTACTCTCACTACGTCTCCCTGTATGTGCTCATTCCCCTAACGGGGAATTACCTCAACAAGGAGGAAGAGAATATTCTTTCAGGCTTGCAAGGTTCTATTAATGTAATTTTACCATAAAGTCCTAAAGAGGGCCTTTTACATTGCTACTTTAAAGTGTTCTACTGCCACATGTTACTGCAAAGTTCTGGAGATGTTTAAAGCTGTTCCTTCCTTCCCAGGTCTACAAATTGTTGACTGATCTGAAGCAGCAGTGCAAAGAGCCTGGGAAGAGCAAGCAGAGTGTTGGCCAGCAGAATCTGAACACAATCACGTATGAAGTAAGTTAAGTAAAGACATAAGGAAAAATTGTGTGCTTTATTGAATTTTCCTTCCCTATCCCACTTGCCTATTTCCATGAACAGAAATCTTTTGTAATCCTGCTATCTGCTAAAAGAAAAAGAAAAATTCAAAGAAGTAGCACAATTCATGTTTTCCTGTTTTTATATAACATGAAAGTCAGCTGGATGATTTTGGGCCACTAACTCTCTCAGCCCAACTCCCCTCACAGGGTTTTTATTTTGAGGAAAATAGGAGGAGGAAGACATGGTGGATATGTTCACTGCCTTGCATTATTTTTAAAAATTAAATACAGGTGGGATACAAATAAATATATCCCTGAAAACAGGGATATATCAGTGAAACATTTAAAAAAAATAAAAGATCTCTTTAATACTACTGCAATACTATATCTAGCAATATAATAATAATAATAAAAATGCAGGTAATTCTCGACATACATTGAGCCCAACATTTCTGTTGTTAACTGAGAGATCTGTTAAATAAGTTTGGCCCCATTTTACCACCATTCTTGCCACAGTTGTTAAGTGAATCATTGCAGTTGTTAAGTTAGTAACATGGTTGTTAAATGAGTCTGGCTTCCCTATTGACTTTGCTTGTCAGAAGGTTGCAAATGGTGATGACATAACCTTGGGGACACTGCAATTGTCATAAATAGAGTTGCCAAGCATCCAAATTTTAATTACATGACTGTTGGGATGCTGCAACGGCATGGTTATAGGTCACTTTTTTCAGTGCCTCTCTAACTTTGAACGGTCATTAAATGAATGGTTATAAGACAAGGACTACTTGTAATTACTTAATAAGTGGATAAAAATACCAAATCCAGTCTGAATATTGGCCAACTCTGCAATGGATCATAATAATCTCCTATAGATCTATTACATCCATGCATTACATTTCATATTCTCTGATAATTTATCTTGTCCTTTTTGTATTTCCTTCAGCTCTAATCATATGCATTATTAGATGATTATTTTGCCATCCTAAAACTGTTCATCCTTGGATTGCCTGAATTCCTAATATATTTGAAAAATTTTCTATGAATTTTATCCAATTGTCATTAGGACTTTAAAAAAAAATCAGATGACAATGGAGCCTCCTTCCACCTCCAGACCCCAATCAAATCACACTACTAAAATCTGGTTGCAAAATGTTGACACATAGCAACATGACCTCTTCTGTTAAATAAATAGGACCTTTGGGAAGCTCATTGCTCTTGCTGCAAAAAGAACCACAAAGCAAAACATTTTGGCTTTACACATACACAGTAATAGTAATATTTGCAGCATTTGAAACCAGGGAAAAAAAGTGTCACCCCCGACTGAAGATGGCCTGCTTCATTGCAGCGGGAATAATATGGAATATTTCTTTTTCTGCCCTTCTAGACACTGAAATACATATCAAAGACACCATGTAAGTTCCAGAGTCCTGAGATTGTAAGAGATTTCCTCATAGCACTGAAAAATCAAAAGCTAACAAAGTAAGTTAAAAATTACGCCATGCAACAGTGGATTAGAAATGTTTGCTTTGTATTACATATATCCCAACTATTCATAATAATATTGTTGAATTATTGGTGTTAAAAAAAAAAATACTTTCAGCTCAGAGCAGGAAATCCCCTGGTGGTAGGGAGCAAGAAAATCAGCTGTATTAAGTGTGATATTCTCCTATTGGTGATTTGGTTTTATCCATGTTTACAATTTTCATTGGCTTTGTAGTATGTTTTAATAGGAGATGTTATTGCCCACATAAAGTTACTTTGTGTGAAATAGGTGGCCATATAAATGTGATAAATTATTTATTTATGGGAAATCCCAAGTAACAATTTACTGTCAGAATATTTGAAGTAAAACTATACACAAAAATACACTGCTCAAAAAAATAAAGGGAACACTTAAACAATACAATGTAACTCCAAGTCAATCACACTTCTATGGAATCAAACTGTCCACTTAGGTAGCAACACTGATTGACAATCAATTTCACATGCTGTTGTGAAAATGGAATAGACAACAGGTAGAAAGCATAAGACATCCCCAATAAAGGAGTGGTTCTTCAGGTGGTGACCACAAACCACTTCTCAGTTCCTATGCTTTCTGTCTGATGGTTTGGTCACTTTTGAATGCTGGCAGTGCTTTCACTCTAGTGGTAGCATGAGACAGAGTCTACAACCCACACAAGTGGCTCAGGTAGTGCAGTTCATCCAGGATGGCACATCAATGCAAGCTGTGGCAAGAAGGTTTGCTGTGTCTGTCAGCGTAGTGTCCAGAGCATGGAGGCGCTACCAGGAGACAGGCCAGTACATCAGGAGACATGGAAGAGGCTGTAGGAGGGCAACAACCCAGCATCAGGACCGCTACCTCCACCTTTGTGCAAGGAGGGACAGGAGGAACACTGCCAGAGCCCTGCAAAATGACCTCCAGTGGGCCACAGATATGCATGTGGCTGCTCAAATGGTCAGAAACAGACTCCATGAGGGTGGTATGAGGGCCCGACGTCCACAGGTGGGGGTTGTGCTTACAGCCCAACATCGTGCAGGACATTTGGCATTTGCCAGAGAACATCAAGATTGGCGAATTCGCCACTGGCACCCTGTGCTCTTCGCAGATGAAAGCAGGTTCACACTGAGCACATGTGACAGGGTCTGGAGACGCCGTGGAGAACATTCTGCTGCCTGCAACATCCTCCAACATGACCGGTTTGGCAGTGGGTCAGTAATGGTATGGAGTGGCATTTCTTTAGGGGGCTGCACAACCCTCCATGTGCTCACAGAGGTAGCCTGACTGCCATTAGGTACTGTGATGAGATCCTCAGACCCCTTGTGAGACCATATGCTGGTGCGGTTGGCCCTGGGTTCCTCCTAATGCAAGACAATGCTAGACCTCATGTGGCGGGAGTGTGTCAGCAGTTCCTGCAAGACGAAGGCATTGATGCTATGGACTGGCCCGCCCGTTCTCCACACCTGAATCCAATTGAGCACATCTGGGACATCATGTCTCACTCCATCCACCAACGCCACATTGCACCACAGACTGTCCAGGAGTTGGGGGATGCTTTAGTCCAGGTGTGGGAGGAGATCCCTCAGATCCACCATCCGCCACCTCATCAGAAGCATGCCCAGACATTGTAGGGAGGTCATACAGGCACATGGAGGCCACACACACTACTGAGCCTCATTTTGACTTGTTTTAAGGACATTACATCAAAGTTGGATCAGCTTGTAGTGTTTTTTTCCACTTTAATTTTGAGTGTAACTCCAAATCCAGACCTCCATGGGTTGCTAAATTTGATTTCCATTGATAAATTTGGTGTGATTTTGTTGACAGCACATTCAACTATGTAATGAACAAAGTACTTGATAAGAATATTTCATTCATTCAGATCTAGGATGTCTTATTTTTGTGTTCCCTTTATTTTTTTGAGCAGTGTATATTATATCTAAGCTGAAGATTACATTCAAGGACCCTAAGTAAATACTCAATACTTTCAAATATAAGACAGTATAAGTCGTTATTTGTTAATTAACTGTGGCAAAAGTAATAATTGCTGTATCTGAAAGGTATTGTATGAAGGAACCTAAAATCAATTTTTCAAGATTGTTAATGACAGGACTGCCATCACTAAATAATGCTGTTACACTTTATGACTTCATTACTTAGCAATGGAAATATTTATGAAATTACAGGTAGTCCTCGACTTATGACCACGATTGAGCCCAACATTTCTGTTGTTAACTCACTTGACTCACTTGTTAAGTGAGTTTTGTCCCATTTTATGACTTTTCTTGCCAGTGTTGTTAAGTGAATCATTGCAATTGACCAGTTAGTAACTTGGTTGTTAAATGAATCTGTGTTCCCCATTGATTTTGCTTGTCAGAAAGTCGCAAAATGTGATCACATGATCCTGGGACATAGCAAAGGTCATAAATGTGAACCATTTGCCAAGCATCTGAATTTTGATCACGGGGAGGCTGCAAAGATCATAACTATGAGAAATGGTCACAAGTCACATTTTTCAATGCTGCTGTAACTTTGAATGGTCATTAAACAAACTGTTGTAACTGGAGGACTGACTGTATTTAATATCGAGCTGGGGTTTAAAGTCTGTTATGTAATGTTTATTAAATATTTTACTTGTTAAACTTTTATCCAACCACAGGTTTAATTTGTGTTTGTAACTTGCTTTTGGGCCTTCTGGCTGTAAACGAAATTGATTGGTTTAAATTAATATTGCAGATTATCAATAGAGAGAGGGACTGGGGTTATCAATCTTTGCATATGTAACAAAGAACATTTCTCCTTGAAGAGAATGTGCATTGGGAATGGTGGCAGTCTGCACATTATCAGGAATATTTATTTTCTGCTGACTGCAGGGCACTACATGCCCAACAGCTTTTTTTTAATTAAATGAATAAATATTCAGAAATTTACATTTTAAAAGCTGAGGAAAATGTTCTCTCGCTACTTAGACAAGTATTGGAAATACCAGTTAAGCATTTAGACAATATATATGGATCTGGAAACTTTTCTTTGACACTTCTCTCTGCAAAACTCCCTTCAATATATAATAATCCTCTCACAGATTTGTTTTCTATTCCTAAACACATTAAAGTAATCAATTTCTGTCATCAATCCTTCAAAAAATAGGTAACCTTGATTTATGACCATAATTGAGGCTGCATTAAGGTCATAAGTTGTGCTGGTCATTAACAAGTCATCATGTAACCAGTCAGATTTTGCCACATTTTTTGTGAGGTCGTTAAGTGATTGGGCCTTCTTCTGGCTGTGATTAAGCCACAATTGTTAAACAAACTCATTGTTTGAAATGGGCATTTTCTGCTGGAAAACAGAAGTAAACAGCAGTTTCTGGCAAAAAAAAAAAGTTGTAAAATGCAGTCACATGACCCCAGGACACTGCAAACTGCCGTCAATGTAGGCGGGTTGCCGGGTACCCAAATATTATCACGGACATTGGAACTTCAAATCTGGGTTGTTAAGTACCTTTGGGGGAGTTCATCGTAACTTTTGAACAGTTGCCAAGTGACTAGTTATTAAGCAAGGACCATTTGTAGTTAGTTTGATTTTAATTGTTTGACCTAAAATTATTATAACAAAATAAAAAGATGTGAAGAGAATTGTTAGAATTGTCACAGTACTTTTCCAATGATAAACAATGCTGTCTTTCTGAGCGTTCACTTGATCTGTGTAATTGTTCTTGATCAGGGGTGTCAAACTCGATTTCATTGTGGGCCACAGAGTTGTGTTTGACCTTGGGGGACTGAGTGGGCGTGGCAGGGAAGGGTGTGGCAGGGTGGGCGTGGCCAGTTCAACATCCTGCAGCCTTCTGCCAGTGAAAATGGAGTCTGGGGGGGCCACATGGTCCTTCTGGGCTCCGTTTTCGGTTGTGATGGCCTCCTGCAGCTCTCTGCCAGTGAAAATGGAGCTTGTCCCAAACTCCATTTTTGCTGGCAGAGGCACTGCAGGCTAGTCCTTCACTGTTTCCGGGGCAGCCCCACGGACCAGATCTTAGCACCCTGTGGGCCGGATCTGGCCCATGGGCCTTGAGGTTGACACCCCTCTTATTGATAATCCTTATTACCATTTTCCCCAATAGTGTCTGCAGCAAGCTGTGATGCCACCAAAATGACATTAATTTAAAATAATATGTAATTTAATATAATCACATTTATGCTGTGATTCAGTACCTGCCTCAGACATCTTGATGCTTATAAGTAATCATGATATTTGCATGGTTGTATCATCACACACATTGCCATTTCTTATCCTTCTGATCTTCGCAGCAGATGGAGGAGCCTGCATAAAGACATCCAGAGAATGCATGGCTGAAATTGGGGGCTTTCAATTTGCATTCTATGCTCTCTAAGAGCATATCATGTTATACCTTCATGTTTGCAGAGTTAGATATCTGTGGTTCTACTTGTGTTGCTAAAACAAAAACTCCCAGAAGCATCAGCTTGCTTGGCCAATGCTGAGTGATAGTAAGAGCTACAGGGAATCATATCTGGAGGCTGCAAATTCTCCATCTGTGTTTATAGTGCTCAGTTACTACATGTAAGGCTGTCATCCAGGTTCTATATAGAGCATAAATTAGTAGTTGGTACCTCTAGATGGCGCCCATTGACAATATAATTATTATAGGAAGGCCACCTCTCATGAGATCTTTAAAAATATCATTTTTTTCCTTTTTTTAAAAAAATAATATTTTTATATATTTTTTATTTGCTGGCTAGCAATATGGGGCATTGCAATCTCTATGCGTCTGGAGGAGATGAGATTGAAGAAGATTGATGTATATAGTGCATTATATTATTTAGCAACTCTTGATAATATGCAAGTAATTTTTTGTGGGGTCCTTGTTGTTTTCTGAGCTTGGTTATTTTCTTGCAGGCATTTCATTACCAAACTAGGATATGATGATACTATCCCACAGTTCAACCCTGAGCTACAGAAATTCTCTTCTATCAATAATTTCCCCCAGATAGTTGATATAAGTGGGTGGTGGGGAAAGGACCATTGTGCCTTCAGTTGTCATGTCACGTTTACCAGTTCTTCCAGCATTTCAAAAGTAATCCAGATGTCCAGGTTCATATAGTTTTGACACTTTCATCTAACAACATCTTAGAAATCAGAAAACAGATATAAGGAGGAGTAGCTTCCTACACTGACTCAAGTTTTGTTATATAGTGATGGCCGAAATGGAGCAGCTAAAATGAAGTAGCACTCACAATATTAGTGAGAAGGAAATTGCAATGTGAAGCAGCTGCTAAAAAAAAGCAAAAGCTACGGTATTTTTGATTGCAATAAGAGGAGCACAGGGTCCAGAAGAGAGGATATAACTGTTCCATTCTGTGTTGCCTTGTTCAGATCCCATGTGCTTGGCACTGTCTTGGCATTGTATAGGATAGAAACAGATTGGAATGAGTTCCGAAGATGCCTAGATAATGAGAGGTTTGGAACCAAAACTACACAGTTAAAGAATCTGTGTGGGTGTGGCCTATGGAAAAGACAAGTGAGGAGAAATACTGTTCAGTAGCATTCTTAAAATATATGAAAGAAAAAAAGGAATGAACTTAACTCTGTATTGCCCCAGAGAGCATGACCAGAACCGTTAGAATAAAATTACAAAAATGTAGATTTAGACGAAACTTTAGCTGCCATGTGAGAAGGTTACTTCTCCTTTGCTAGAAGTCTTCAAACAGGCTGGATGCTCATCTGTTAAAGATGCTAGAAGAGATCCTGAACTGAGTAGAGGGGGTGATTTTATTATTTATACATTCCATATAGATGGCCACCCACTTGCCACATGACTCAGGCTGGCTAACAAAAAATTAAAAACAGCAAATAATAATCTAAAAAATTAAAACATTGCACTGAGAAGAGTTCATAATCTCCTAATCCTGTGCGGAAGGAAGAGGCATTTTTAGAGACAAGCAGGATTGGATCCATATTTGCGGGGGCGGGGGGGATGCTGTTCTAGAGGCAGGAATAGTGATAGAAAAGGCACATTTCCTGGGTCCCACAAAGTAACACTGCTTGAATGATGGGACCCTGAACATGACAATCCTGTCAAATGTTATTGATGAAAAAAGATCATCCAAGCCAGGCCCTACGCAATAAAGGATTTTATGGGCGATGACCAGTACTTTGAATGGCATCCAAAAGTCTACTGTGCAATTCATTTAGTACCAGTGTTTCATGGATCAAAGTGTCCTCATTACTACCAATGCTGCTGCCTTCTGAACTAGTTGTTTCTTTCAAATGGTCTTTAAGGGCAATCCCAAGTAGGATATGGTACAGCAATTCAGATTTGAGATAACCAAGCCATGAATGACTATTTCAGCCTCCTAATCCAGGAATGAGTGCAACTGATACACAAAATGGATGTGTGCAAAGGCCCTCTGAGTTACTCTTCAAGTAGGAACCATGACTGGTTTTGCCTAGCCACTGCAACCCCATCTAGAACCAAAGATGAAAGGTTGCCAAAACCAGTAGCCCTAAAATCCTAAGCCACTTGATAAGCCTAAATGCCCATTCAACCCCCATAAGCTCCAGAAATCGAAATCGAATCTGAAAAGCATTATCTCGCCAGCCTAGGATGAGTTATATAACTAGGTAGCATCAGCATATCGATTGTATGTTCATGTCAAAGTTCACCCCACTCAAGAACAGAGAAAAAAATTGAGCTCTGAAGAATAGAACCAGGTTTAGAAGGAGAACCCCTTCGATAACTCCTACTGTCACCCTCAAAACCAGTGCAGAACGATATAATTTATTTAATCAAATAATTCTAGAAAGGTTACTCTGGGATGGTACCTAAGGTTGTTGAAAGATCAAGGTTGGATGAGATGGAATGCAGATCCCGAATCATGTTCCTATCATAGGTCATTCGTATGTGTAATCATGCTATTTCGGTACTATGCCAAGGCCTGGAACCTGACTGGAAGGAATACAAATAATCTTCCCTACAGTCCAACTTCTGTCTCAAATGCCTTTCCTAAAAAAGGAAAGTTGGAGATATATCAGAAATTACCCAACATAATTTGGTCCAGCAATGAGTACTTGAGAAGAAAATTGCATTCCCTAACCCCAGGCATAAGTATCACTTCACTCAATGTACCACCTCTTAGCTTCAACCATACATTGTCTTCCCACAGACCTTAATCAATTTAGAAGAATGTGGATCTGATATACATGTGACTTCCTTCACAACCCTGAAGACTCTTTCTGCTTCCTTAGGACCAAGAAAGTAAAATTTCTTTCAGATGAACACAGACTATACTTAACTCAGTAGGACTTGAATAGGTGGAATTCATCTCAGGGTGGGTTTGAATGATTTCCCTTAACAGATGCTTTGACTAATCTTCAGAACAGCCTATCAAAAGATCTTCTGATCCATCTCTCCCTAAGAGGGATTGAATCACTTTGCACAGGGCTCCTAGAAAGCAATCCATGGGCACAATAAAATGAGGGAAAATAATTATATTTTGCCCCCTTTTTATTGTATGTACCTTAATAAAGACTCTTCCTCATGTTTCATTAGGCCCTTCATCTTTTTCCAGCAGCCCTGTAGGCATTTCTTTCTGCTATTTCATCTCTATTCTGTGTTGTTACACCATAATTTAAATTCCTGAAACTCCCTTTCTGTCTTTTAAAAAAGCCCAGACATATACAAGTATAGTAATAATTATAAATTCATCCTGAGTCAGTGGTGGGATTCAAATATTGTTGCCACTGGTTTGGTGGGCATGGTTTGGTGGGCATGGTTTGGTGGGCGTGCTTTGTGTGCGTGCACACACTTTACGTGCATGCGCATGCTAAATACGTACTTTGCGCAGGTGCAGAGACATTTGCGCAGGCGCAGAGGTGTTCTAACTCGCCTCCTGCAAACCTGGTTGCTTCAGCAGCTGCCGCGCGATGCTATTCTGTGCCACGCAAAGCAGCTGCGCTTCAAATTCAGCGGATAAAGGTGAGTATGGGAGCCCAGGCAGGTGGGTGGGCCCAACAGCAGAACCATTAAAGCAACGGAGAGAACCGGTTCGGTCTCTGCTGCTCATCGCTCTTACCAGCTCTCCAGAACCGGGCAGAACCGGTCGAATACAACCACTGTCCTCAGTTATGTTTTCATTTAGTTTAAATGTTGTCCACAAAAACTTAATTTTATAACTAACTCATAGTTGAAAAAAATTAAACTGGTTTAGGTAATTGTTTTTTGTAAAAGTGATAGAATTTCACCCAGCTGTTGATACCAATTAAATTTGACATCCCTGTTTTCTGCCTGTCTTGGTAGCCAAGGATGTGAAACTGACATTTAATGGTTTATTGTGCCGCACAGGATTTTGAAATACATTTTCAGCCTTTGGGACTATCTAAAGAAACAAGCTTTTGAAATCTGGGTTCAGAAAGAGCCGTGGGTTGTAAATGTTTTTGAACAAAGGGTCATTGAGGGTTTTAAAACCTACAAACCAGTAAATGCCAATGGATTACAGATGTGGGAATGGCAATTTTCAAGCTCCCAAATTATTTCATTTCTGCCTCATGTAGTTCTAAAGCCAGGCTGTAAGTAAGACACTGGAGTAAGTTGAATGTTTTGTAGACAAGCTTTTGTTATGATGTGGACTCATTCCTGTGACCAGAATCCCTAAATTATATACATTTATGTTCTTTGCTTGGGTACAGGGCAGAAAAATTGCAACTACTCAACCACAGGCCTGCAACTGCTGTTGAAATCCAGCTGGTAAGTTATAAAGCTGCCTTCTGAAACATTGCTTTCAATATAGAAAATCAGTCAAGGGATCTCTCAATTTTCCAATAGGGATTGTATAATAGTACAATTCTTGTCTGGGTATCTATTTTCTTGCCTTTGTTCTTATCCTCAGCCTGTTTTATTGCTTACTCTGGTTGTGAAACGGTTGCATCAGCAACTGCACAAAGATACATTTGATAGAATGAAATCATGGACAATAGGATCCAGCTCATGTGAGCCTCACCTGTACAGATGCAGTGGAAAGGCTAGCAAAAGAGGGAAAAGCCAACAAGGAAAAGCAGCTGCCAGGAGGAGTTACTACTAGACTTTGGAAATCTGTCGCTTTGTATTAATTTTATTATTAAAAAATTGTTATTCTTTGATTATGTATTGTAAACTGCCCTGGAAATGTATTAGAAGACTGAAATGTAAGTTAGATACAGATACAGATTAACCGAGTTGGAAAGGACATTGTAGGTCATCTAGTCCAAAGTAATTATATCCAGGTTAATTGTACAAAAAAAATGGTCAGGAACAGAGTGTGTTTTTTGGACATTTGTGCCAACACACATAAAATATCTACTTAGTTTTGTAAGGAGAGATTTGCATCTTACACCCAACAGAAGTCCAAATATGACAGAAGACAGGAAATATGTACAATAAAATCAGGTCATCATGGAGAGCAATATATCTAGACACCAAGTTGGTTTTGACAACCAGTTTTTAAACCACCTATGTGTTCAATTAATTAATATGCCATCAAGTCCATACTTTACTAACGATCCAAATTTTGTGGGTGTGTTTTGTCACATTTTTTTGTTGAAATCAAGATATACTCTATGTACAGCATTCTCTACAATCTCTGAAAGTTGTCTGATAAAAATGAGATAGTGTTATTTTATTTTCTGGTGGCTAGCATATTTTAAAATTTCTGCTGAATGATCTCTTCATTACTGACTCTAGAACCTGTCTAATTTTGATGTTCTGCTACCTGGTCTGTAATTTCCTAGATTCCCCTTTGTTCCTTTTTTGAAGATGGGAGTCTTATCCTCTTGGTATTTCACTGGTTCTCCCAGTTTTCTCAAGGTAATTCATAAAGATTTGACCAGACCATCAGAAAGTTATTTCATGCTCTGCATTTTGTCTGATCCAGGAGCTTTAAACTTATGCAAAGTAAATATAAATATGGTCCTACTCTAACCCTGGCCTTTTACGTTGTCCTGAACAGTTGTCTAGTTCTTTTGTCATTGAAAAAGCATGAGAAAAAATATGACTTTAGCTCTGCTGTTCCTGTGTTACCTGTTATTCCGTCTTCACTTAGGCTAAACATAACAAGTTCCTTCATCTATTCTTCCTAAACTTTAGCTTCCAAGCCCCTCATCATTTTTATTGCTCTTCTCTACACTGAACTTGCATCTGCCAGCTCTGAGGAGGAAAATAGACACTTTATGCTTTTCCAGCAATCCCCATTTTTAAACACTTTCTTTTTCAGAAATGCATACAGTTCCTTTTCCCATTAGCTTCTCTGACCACAGATTCCTACTTACCATTATTCTGAATTATTAAAATGTGCAAAGTTTGAAACACCCAGTCAACAAGATAAATTTCCGTTCCTTTAATCAAAATCTCCAACATTAAATGGTCACTTTCTCTTAATATTCTCTGCTTATTTTCTATCTCTTCCGCCCCCTTCCACTTCCTCTCCAGGCTGTATCATTCCCTGCTAACAAACCTCTGAGAGCCGCATAATAAATGAATATTGACTGATACATCCTTGAGAGCTGCTGATTCCCTGAGCAAATAAAATGTTCATTTTAGAAGAAAATGAATAGCTGAAGCAAATGTTCTGAGGTGGCGCCTGCTGAAAGATGTGGGAGTTCTTAGGTCATTGATTTAGCAAAAAGGCAAGCTCTCCATCTGCTTTATTCCATGTTTAAGGAAGTCTTATTAGTTTAGGGGAGATAGAAAATAAAACAAAATATCACTCTCAGCTTAATCACCTCCATAAAAATATTTTGATTCCAAAATAGTTCGTAGGTACACGGTCAAGGCTGCTGACTTTAACTGAAACAGGTGAAAATAATTCAATGTTACAATATGTTTCACCTGTGTAACTTAGTTTTTTTAATTATTGCATCTGTTTTGCCTCTCTTTGAAATATTTAAAAGTTAAGTAGGGAAAAACAATCATTTCTATCTGCTTAGTTCAAAAATAATTTTTACCTTACCAAAGAGTTTGATACTGTTGTTGTTATCCTTTGTTGTACAGATGTTTAGATTGAATTTGGCACTTTTGTCCACCTGTTGAGGTCTTCCCAAGGTCCTGGGATAGGCAGAAGTTGTTGTTCAATAATGCAGGAAGTTCTTGGCATATAATTGAACCCAAAATTTCTGTTGCTAAGTGAGACCATTGTTAAATGAATTTTGACCCAGTTTACAACCTTTCTTGCTACAGTTAAGTGAATCACTGCAGTTGTTAAATTAGTAACATCTCTGTTAAATGAATCTGGCTTCTCCATTGACTTTGCTTGTCAGAAGGTTGATCATGTGACTATGGGAATGCTGCAACGGTTGTAAGTATGAAAAATGAACATAAGTCACTTTTTCAGTGCCATCGTAACTTTGAATGATCACTAAATGAACAGTTGTAAGTCGAGCATTACCTGTATTAAAGGTATCACAGCATGCAAGCTGTTTCACACAAAGGTACAACATCAGTGGAAAAAGTGACTTATGATCATTTTTCACACTTACGGCTGTTGTAACAGCCCAACACCCCTGCATCACATGATCAAAATTCAGACAGTTTGCGTCCCAGCGTCCTGTGATCAACTTGCAACCTTCTGACAAGCAAAATCAATGGGGAGACAGATTCACTGAACAACCATGTTACTAACTGTTGCTGGAATTGGGTATGTCTAGTTTGATGAAAAGAAGGACTAGAGGAGACATGATAGCAGTCTTCCAATATCTCAGGGGCTGCCAGAAAGAAGAGGGAGAATCTATTCTCCAAAGTACCTGGGGGCAGGACAAGAAGCAATGGGTGGAAACTAATCTAGGAGAGAAGCAACCTAGAACTGAGGAGAAATTTCCTACCAGTTAGGACAATTAGCCAGTGGAACAACTCGCCTCCAGAGATTGTGAATGCTCCAACACTGGAGGTTTTTAAGAAGAGATTGGATAACCATTTGTCTGAAATGGTATAGGGTTTCCTGCCTAAGAAAGGGGTTAGACTAGAAGACCTCCAAGGTCCCTTCCAACTCTGTTATTCTATTCTGTTCTGTTCCTATTCTATTCCTATTCTATTCTATTCACTGTTCTCATGAAAGATGTTTACAAATTTCATGCTTTTTTGATGATTAAACCCCAAAATGATTTATATATCATATTAAAACCAGGGCACATTTCTTTCATCTCTTTAGAATAAAAGCATGAAATTTGCAAACGTCTTTCATGAAAAATCTGTACTTTTTGAACTGCAGCAGAGGATTGATAGAATGTCCAGATGATAAACAGGTACTAACTAGACAGCTCAATCTCTGTTCAATTCTGTGCTTGTACTGAGATGTGCTGATCTTGAACTAACCAAAGAACTGCAGTGATTCATTTAACAACTGTGTCAAGAAAGTTGTAAAATGGGAGGAAATTCACTTAACAATTGTCTTGCTTAGCAATATAAATTTTAGGCTCAATTATGATAATAAGCTCAGGACTACCTGTATTGTACAAGGGCCACAGCTGCCACCTGTTTATTGAAAAGGAGCTATGAATCCAAGAAGACTTCAGAATGCGCACTGTCAAGAGTAGGAAAGAACCACTCTACTGAAGCCAAAGATGTAAAATGTCCTCTTCTGGGATCCAATATTAAGTCGTTTTGATAGCTTAGAAATAAAAAGCTAAAGATCACATATTGTATTTGAGGAGGTTTGTTTTTCCCTGAGATAAGAGCAGTAGCTCCATTAAGAGCATTAGCTGTGACTGAAGTTGTTTGTTTAAAGAGGAAGGGATTTTATTTGGTTTTATGGTACAACTAAAAATTTCCATTTGCTATTCTTAGGCAGATCTGATGGGTGAGTGTTTGCATCAAAAATTTCTTACTGTTTTTAGTGAAACAATATGCATGCTTAGGAGAAAATAAAACTTCTTGAACAGTGATATGTTGCTCAGTCATTCAGTTGCTTTTTAATCTTTGGGATGGACATCATTTTATTAGGATTGTCTGTCAAATATATTTAATTCTCTACGTTTTGTAAATATCTCTTCTCCTTCCTATTATTCTCAGATTTTTTGTACTGTTTATTTCTGCCTTCAGTTATCGCCCTCACATCTGGATTTATCGTGTGATAATTGGCGTACCTTTGACTCAGATTAAGAGCATCTCTCATTTGGGGAAGGGTTGTATCCAAGCACTGACTTTGACGCTATTTTGTTAATAATAATAGCTAGCCTTATTTCTTCAATGAGATTTTAACCCACAATTGATTGCTTTTCTGATGTGAAGGGACCTGTTTCAGTCCACTTCAATTTGCTGGTTTCCAGAATGTGAATATTCACTCTTGACATTTCTGTTCTGACATCAGCTTTGCCTTAGTTCATGGTCTGACATTCCATGGACCAATGTATCTTTGCAGCTTCAACCTTTCCTTTTGCTTCTGGGCAGTCAGCAGCTGGGCTTCCCTTTGGCTTTAATTCAACACATGATAAGCACCAGTGCTCTTGCTCTTAGCTCTTGCCCAGTAGCTTGTTTCATGCCTTCTAAGCTTCAAACTCGTGTTGATGCTGTCTTGGCTGTGGACATCTACTTGATTTTCTTGACAGAACAATGGAGTAGATAGCTCTTTTTTTCTTGGGTGGATGGTATTTAGTCAGATTCCTCATCAGTGGATTGCCTGTCATGGGTGAAGTTTCTGGGAGAATATTCTTTAGTTTATAACATCCTTGGGAAATCTAAGCTGTTTTATCACGACAAGATCAAGCTCCATGAAAGAAACAATGCTTCATTGTAAATTCACGCTTCATCCCAAGTAGAGTAAGGCTGAACCTGAATAGTTCAACGGGCAAAGAAGTTCTTGAATTCTATAGAACTCTCCGTTGGACAGGATATTAAAATGTAGGAGATGGGAAAAAGCAAAGGAGTTCCAGAAATTAGGATCAAATCAAATACTTTTATTACAATCTTTGACCAGCTTTTACAGTGAAAAAGAGAAATAGTTTGATATAACAATTCATTATTGGGGCAAAAATGATATATCAAAGGCTTTGCATGGTTGCATGACTTGATGAGGGTATATGATGTGTGAATGTGGGTCTAGCATCCTAACAGTAATAAACATAAAATTTGTCAGTGTTACCTTCAAATTTGGAGATGACTGAGGCAATCACAGCACATCTTGGGGCGTCATAAAAAGGGCAGCATATGAGGACATGGGCAAGAGTTTCTACCTCCCTGTATCCACAAGGGCAAATTGTCTGCAAGTGAGAAATCCAGTGCAGCCTTCCTGCCAATAGAGCTGATGGGAGGCCCAGAAATTAGGATAAATGGCTCAATTACAAGATTTGAGTCCAGGGTGTATCCAGATATTGACAGTACCTAACTTTGACTAATGCATTCAATCAGTGCTTAGATGGAGAAAGCTCTTATCAATGCCAACAATGTTATCTGTAGAAATGCCCTTCCTTATCAGGGAAGGAAAGACCTCTGCTCCAGTTCCTTAGAAAACTGGATTAGTTGGTTGTTTTCTGATTCGTAGTGATTGGCTTCATTTTATCCTAGTTTTGCTGAGCCTCCCTAAATGTTAAAGTTGGTCAGTTTTAGTTCATTTAGTTCATAACTCTCCAAATTCCCAGCTGGTACAGGAAGAGATTGTCCTAAAACAATAAAGCTGACTGCATAATGTCAGCTTTATTGTTTTAGGACAATCTCTTCCTGTACCAGCTGGGAATTTGGAGAGTTATGTCCAGGGGTGGGCTTCAAAGAGTTTTAGCAAAGGGTACTCTGCCCAGTTGCTGGGTGGGCGTGGCCATGGTGGGCGTGGCCTAGCCTCCTGCACCACAGTAGGGCGTTTTTGCCCTCCCTGGGCTCTGGAGGCTTCCCTTGAGCCTCCGGGAGGGTGAAAACGGCCTCCCCAAGCTTTGGACGCTCTCTGGAAACTGGAAACGCGCGCATTTCCGGCCTTCCCGAACTTCCAAGAGGCCCATTTTTCACTCCCCGAGCCTCCATGTGCACCTTGCACTTACTTGCATTTAAAACAGGCCACGCGGGGACTCCTGGGTGGGGCTGGGCGGGGCCAGCCAGGAGTGGGATTTAAGGGTTCTCTGAACTGCACAGAATCTTAGCTAGGGGCTCTCCTGAACCCCTGCAAACCCCCAGCAGCCCACCCCTGGTTAGATCTGTCCTAAGGAGCTTGGAAGTTAGCATGTAAAAGGGTGAACAGGATATACCGGTGGACACTAAATCATTGTCCTTTACAGATTGTGGAAGAAAGTGAAGAGAGGCTTACAGAAGAGCAAATTCAATCCCTTCTGCAGACAGTCACCAGCATGCTTCCTGGAGACCCAGAAAAAGAGCAAGAGCAGCAATCCATGGTTGTGGAAGAGGAGGGGAGCCAGACATAGGAGAAGTATAAATGACTTGAACTGCAGGAGACCGCCTTCCCCATTTTAGCATCAGGAAGGGTTGGCCAAACTCTTCATTTGCTATGAGAATCTGCAGATTTCCCAGTTTCCATGATGACTAAGCAGTGTTGTCACTATATGTTTTTCCGTTGTTTGTACACCACAGGAGAATTATTATTTACAGCATAAACTTTTAAAGGGAAAAAAAATAACTCTTGTCTTTATGTTTTATCTATTGTAAATGCAACGTGAATTGAGGTTTATGCCAGGGCAAATGCTACTATTGACTTCACAATTTTCATGCTTCTCTACTGCAATATGAATCTGAGTTCATCCCAAGGCGGATGCTACAACTGGCGTCACAATTTTCATGCTTATCTACCTGGAAAGTTTTACACATCAATAGCACAGATGTTGGCATTACGGACTTGTTCATTTATTAGAAAAGTGCATTCCAATTTTCCTGTTTTTACTAAAAGGTATCACATATAAAACAGCAGATCATTAATATGTTAACAATATCCTATTGATTATAGTGGTATGTCATAATAGTCACAAAATGGGCCAGTCACATAACTGATCTGATTTTGCAACCTTTTTGCAGCAGTTGTTAAGCAAAGCAACAATATTCATTAAGCAAATATATGATAATTAAGTTAATCCATGGTCATTAAACAAACCAATGGTTCACTATGGGCGTGCAAAAACCAGAAGTGCCAATTTTTGGCAAAACTTATAAAATCGGTCATGTGACCACAGGATGTTGCAAATGGCTATGAATATGGCCATACTGCCAAAGTTGTCATGTGATCACAGGGGTGGGGTGAGGCTCAACCATTGGAACTTTGAATTTGGGTTGTTAAGTCCCCTTTTCAGGTTGGTCATAATTTTGAATGGTTGCTATGCAACCTGTCATAAGTCAAGGACTGCCTTTCTGTTTTTCTTTCCTTTGTTCCTCACCTGTGGCCTTCACTCTTCATTGGGTCGACTCACACTTAGTTCTTGGCCATAACATGTCCACTATCCTTTTGGCAGATGTAAACCATGGTCTGGGATCAGTTTGTTGGGCAAAGACATCCGAATGCTAAGTCATATTGTTTAGTCAGTGCCCCTCTATCTTCCTCCCTCACTTTCATTGTTCTACCTCTAAACATCTGTCTAGTAGTCTTGTATCTTCCCAATATTTGGGAGTCTGAAAGAATCCAGTAATCAAACACTTTCTGACTGTCCTGGGCACCTTCCTCCATAGATTTTCCAAATGGTTGGAACGCTGACATCTGGATTCCTTGCTTGCTTGGACATATCAATAAGTCTAAAGAACAAGAGACCTGCTTTACACTGCACTACTTTATATTTCAAAGCCTTTGTTGTCAATGTACATCATATATACAATGAAATTGGTTTAGCCTCTACTGGTGCAGTCCATACAAGAATACAAGACAACATGAATAATATAAAGAATAATCCTTATATAAGTAGATAGGAAAAAAACTAGTCATATGTTTCCATATGTATGTTATATTCTGTGCAACATGAATATTACTCTGGTATATGGTGTATAATTTATAAATAAAATGGCAGTGTCTGGCCAACCTTTCCAAAGCAGTGCAGACCATCTACTTAAATCCTCTGCATTACCGGTAGAATACCATTAATTTATTGGAACGTGTGTGTTTTAGGCTTGTGAAAAGTATACAAAGAAAGAAACACATAGGAGAAATAAGCAGAAGTGGGTTTTAGTTTGAGATATGTATTCTTTTTTTATGCAGGCAATACTTTCAGGTGCTGAAAACTGGGTGGTGAATGATTACAGCTGCAGGCAAGCAAGTTTCTAAAATAACTAATAATCCTTGTTCAAAGCTCCTATTTGCTCTTTGGCAAATATCCCAGAAGATGAAGAGATTTGTTCATAAGGAGTTCCATTCTTGCTTCCTGTTCTGTTAGCTTAGAAATGTGCATATGGAGAAGAGTGTCCGGAAATCACCAGTTCAGGGCTTCAAATCCACAGAGACTTCAGGGTTTGTTAATTTAAATTGGGCAGATTCAAACAACACACGCACAATGACTTGATTGATAAATCTTGCTAAGTATTAGTGGGAGAGTACATGAAACCCTTGAGTCCACCTCTGACCACAATAGCCAGAAATAAGTGGTGTGGTTGACCATTTAAGTCAAGACAAAGGAAAACATTGTAAATCCTGATTTATTGGTGGGGGGGGAGGTTGTTTAAAAAGTCAAAAGAGACAGCCAAGACTATGTTTGAAGCAGTGGTGGGATTCAAATTTTTTTTACTACCAGTTCTGTGGGCGTGGCTTGGTGAGCATGGCAGATGAAGGATACTGTAAAATCTCTAGTCAGAGGTGATATTTGCCGGTTCTCCAAAGTACTCAAAATTTCTGCTACCGGTTCTCCAGAATTGGTCAGAACCTCTGGTTTGAAGCTCTGCTCCTTGCACACTTGTAAATCTATGGTGACCCTCCCAAAACAAAAGCCTGATAATAATTGTTATTAAGAGATACCGGTAGTTCTTGGCTTATGACCACAATTGGGAGCAGAATTTCCATTGCAAATCCAAGGTGATTGTTAAGTGAGTTGAGTTCAGTTTTATGATTTTTGCAATGATTGATAAGTGAATCACTGCAATTGATTGTTAAGCAAATCATGCAGTTAAGTGAATCCATTTTCCCTATTGACTTTGTTTGCTAAAAACCAACTGGGAAGATCACAAATGGCAATCACGGGATCCTGGCTACATTCCAACCATCATAAATACATATTGGCCAAGTTCCCAAATTTTGATCACATGACCAGGAGGATGCTGCAAAGGATGTAAGTAAGAAGACTGGTTGTAAATCACATTTTTCAGTACCACTATAATTTCAAACAATTGCTAAATGAATGAGTGTAGGTCAAAGACCATCTGTATACTTAAACTGCAGCTCATAAAAGGTTATAGCTTTTAATACAAATCTGCTTGTTAGAAAAGTTGTTTTGTGGGCTCCTGATTTTTTTTTTTTGCCATTGTGGCTTTTAAGATCCTTTACCAATTCAACCGGTTAAGGTTAAGTCAATAACATATGCATTTATAAATTAGATTGATACCCTCACTGAATTATTACTACTTCTAGTAAATGAGCTTGTTGGGAAAAATTGAAGAAGGAAGTATACATTGCCTTGAGCTCCTGAAAGAAAGATGGAATATAAGCAAGTAAAGTACTGTACAAAAATCCTACTGATCTAATTACTGGTAGTATTTGTGAAATAGGCTGGGCTTGAAATAGTGATTGGCTAAAGATGAATTTTTCCAGTATAATGACCACTATACCATATTGCTTCTCTTTTAAAGCCATACACATTTAATATCATCTGTTAAACTCAATTGTTTTTCAGATTCTTGGCTGAAAGCCTTATATTTCAAACAGATTTTTCCCTACCAAAAAAGCCCACCTCTATCGAATAGACATCCATTCTCATGACTAATGACTTTAACCAGGGGTAGGATTCTACCGGTTTGCACCTATTTGCTAGAACCGGTTGTTAACATTCTAAGCAGTTTGGAGAACCGGCTGTTAGAAGAAATTACTCGCCTAATCCTGTAAGGAAGGCAGGAAGGAAACATTCTGGTGTTGCTTACAGAAATTGCCTCTCCGTTAACCCTTATTACATTCTTAGCAGGACTAGACTTCCTGTCTCAGGAATTTCTCTGGAGCATTTTTCCCCTCCTTTGCTGGTACTTTGCTTGTGTGGAGTGACCATTCAAAGTTACAATGGCACTGAAAAAAGTGACTTATGACCATTTTTCACAATTATGACTGTTGCAGCATCCCCACAGTCATGAGAGGCTAGGCAAAGAGATGCATGCCTCGATGTGAGTGATGTTGAGTTGGCCACACCCAGGCAACATGACCACCAAGCCATGTCCACCCAGTCACATGACCACCAAGCCATGCCCACCACCTAAGCCACGCCCACAGAACCGGTTGTTAAAACTTTTGAATCCCACCCCTGGCTTTAACACTGGTATAAATCAGTTCAGATTGGCAAAATTCTTTATATCTTTAGGGATGGCATTTATGTTCCCTTCCTACAAACGCTTGAAAAACCATTTAACTCTGTTAGCAATAATCTCTGTTAGATGATTACTCTCCTATTTGGTTTCTTTTCTTTCTCTTTGTTCATACTTTATAAACCAATAATAAGCTTTTTGGATGTACTTGAATGCTTTTCAGTGTTATAATACCATTTAATTGTGGCAAGTTCTTGTCAATTAAACCTAATCATTATATTTTTTTATACATCTAGGATACCAAATGTTAAGTTTAAGTACTTGGAAGTGATTAACTGCTAAGCCTCATGGATGTTTACTTAGAAATTTGTCATCGTATTCATTGAAACTACTGCCAAGTCAATATTTTATTACACCATTTGATATTTATTTGGGGCAAAAAGTTATTCAAAGCTTCCAGAACATAGCGTAGTACATGATATACTCATATATACTCATGGATAAGCCCATGCACAGACAAGACAAGCCTCAATTTTTTTAATGAAATTGCCATGAAGAAATGTGCCATGTGCAGATAAACCAGTTATGAAGATTAAAATGTATAAAAATTTTGAGGGTCAGTTTATTTACGAATAGGCTTATCCGTGAGAATATACAGATAATTTTTGAAAATAATATATTCACAGAAACATCACAATTGATCTACATAGAAACCACTTTTGGAATTTTTACTCAAAGAGAAAAATGAAATTTTGATTTGGGGATTTGATATCTTTTGATTATGAAGCTATGTATTTGTCTAGTCTGAAAGCAGAGAATTTTCAATTATAGATTTTTTTAAATTATAGACATATCTAACAATATATATATTTTAGAGCTGGTAATCTGTACTTATGGGTTATATATTTTATCAAATTAAGATATTATGATATATACTGTTACTGTTATTTGATTGTTTTATATGTATATCTTTATATATTTAGTTTTATACTTTTTTCTTTTCTTAAAATAAAACAAGTGTATATTTTATTTTATAACTATATGTTGAAAAAATTGGAAGTTTAACATTTATCTTGTTATTCTTTGTTTTCTTGTCACTTTTTAAACATTCCCTCTTGTTCCCCTCTCCCACCTTTTGTCTTCTTCTAATTTTCTATTTTAGGCTTTTATTTTTTGAAATTTAATAAACTTTTTAAACAAATCTCATAGCTGAAATAAAAACACGAATTAAAAAGCTTGCAAAAATTCTTAAGATGACTCCTAGGAAATTCCTAGGAATTCCAAAGTTAAGATGTCCATTGTTAAAAAGTAACATTTGAAAACTATTTTTAAATTATTGCCTTATATTGTAACTACACAGTGATTTCTCTGCAGAGTGGGATCAGCTAAACGTGAAAAAAAAAATCTTAAATTGAGCTCAGTTATGGCTATGCCTATGTAAAAGTTATTTTCTTGGGAATATTTATTTATGTATTACATTTATTGGCCTCCTCCATTTTATTGCAAAGTAACGCCTTGTTTCTCATTATTTTTTCCTGGACATTTTCCCCAAATTTCTGAGTGGGTTATATAGCCTTGGGACTTCAGCATAGCTTCTCACACAAATGTGGAAGGTATTTCACAAATCAATGCACAACAAAAAACAATCTATATGCGACATATATAAATGTTGAACATGTTGAAAATTCATCAACAATCATTCTGTGTGATGACCCGTAGTCTCTCAAAATAACCCCAAACCCAAAACATACATTAAAGTCCGGTAAGGCCTTCAACTTAACTTCACTGTTTTATTAGGCACAGTTTAAAGTCACAAAAGTAAATAATGTGGCAAAAAGAAAACCAAAACAAACCACATTGATGAGAGTTCCGAAGCAGGCCAAGAAAATTAGTCATACATTCCAGGAAGGTAACCGAGGAGAGTCCATGGGAAGAACACCAGCAAAGATAAACCTCGTTCAAAATAAACACTAAACTTTGACTCTAGCAATTCTGACGATGCAGTTACAAACTTATATACATGGGCTCTCAGCTGCAAGCCACGAGCAGGATCATGGTAATCTCCTGAGTAGACCTCGCTTTTCCCTGATCCTCTCCTCCCTGCGTGACCTAGGATGGATAGGGGATGGGCCTGGATCCTCCTCTGATTGCTCAGCTGGCCTCTGCTCTTCCCCAGCCTCCTCTTCCACTCCTGGAGCCACACTCCCACTCCCTGTTGGCTGTTCCTCCTCTTCCTCAGAGTCTGGCTCCACCAGGGGCATGACATTCTGTTTATTTTTGTCATTGGTTTAATATCAACTTCTTCCTTTAATAAGGTTGGAATGTTGTGATCACTCAGTCATTTATCCTAGAAGAAAGTGAACAAGAATGAGCTAGAGAACAATCAAATATACTGTAGTTATTTTGCATAAGAAGGAAACTGAATTCAACCATTTTCCCTTGTAAGGCATCGACAGGTCAAGATGGGCAGTTCTCTCTTCCTTGGCTGCTTAGGACTGAGTTTGCAAAAGGCTTATTAGCCTAACTCCGCTCACTCCAGGTGACTCCTCCCCAGTTTATGCTCAGTCCTTAGCAGCTAAGGATGTGGGTTTTGCCTCTCCTGTCTTTGGAGTTTTTCAATTCCAAAGGCAACCTTTTAGTGTGGATTTCCCTTTAAGGGAAAAAAAGCCTCCATTTGTCTTTTACTTTCAAAATTGGCGCTCTGCTTCTCAGCTGGTGATTGGAGCTGCCAAACAGCTGAGGACTGCTCCGGGGATCCGGAGCTGCCTGAAGAGGCCATGGAGGCTGTTTTCAGCCCTCCCGGGCGAATATTGCCCTTCCAACGACCGGAGGGTCGTTTTTGAAGAGAGGAGGCTTCCGCGGCTGTTCCATGAGCCGTGAAGCTGCTTTTTCACCAATCGCGGCAAGATAAGGAGTTTGCTTGGCTGGATGGCCATTTTTTTGTTGAGAGCATGGGCGTTGGCCACGCTTCTCTTATTGCTGCAGGGCTGGAAGCTTTCCCCCTGCAGTGAAGCAGGCAGCCACATAGCCGGTGGCTGCTTTATTCTTCACCTTCCTCAGCCTGCTGAAAGTCTTTAAGAATCCAGGGAGAGCACTGATGCTCCCTGGATGAAGATAGAAGCCTCATGATAGGTGGCCATTTTGAAGACTCCTTGTGGCCAGTGGCCATTTTGGACACACAGGTGGCCATTTTGAAGATTCAGTGACCATTTTGAACTGGCTTCTTCATCTTCTTCATCTTC